ACAAACACAGAACATATGGAACGTGCAGAACAGATCAGGTCACACTGAGCAAACATAACAGAAAACCACTTTGTACTCATCTGTGCTTTTAGTTATTTCAGGTACTAGCTTAACTTATTTCCGGGGGACGAGTCAGCTAGACTGCACAATAAGTAAACACCAAACATCACCATGGGGCCAAGGATTTAGCTCAGTGGTTCTGCCACCTACCTCGCAAGAACAAAGTCCCAAGTTTGATCCCGGTACCACACCCCCCCAAAAAATCACCATCATCCCCACACTTTCTCTCTGTGAAAAGCAGCTAGGTCATATAAAGAATATGTAGCACGCTCATGGCTCGCTGTAAGTGGAACATGGCATGCCCTGCCATGATTCTAGGTAGGATCCATGCAGCAGGCAATGGAGACCCAGGGAAGCCAACACTACTATGCTTTCCAATATACCTGCTAAGCCTTTTTGTCACCTAAAATGAAGAAACAGTATTCAAGAATGGGAAAACCGACTCCATCACAGCCTCATCAGAAGTCATCGTGGTTGGTAACCAACCACTTTTCAGACGTGCTCCAATCGGTAAAGACTCCAAGCAGTTCAACTTCTTTCAGTCCAGTGCTGCAAAGCTGTGTCTTTACATTTATTTCCTCATGAATTCTGTAGGTAACTAGGTAGATGATGTTCAGAGATTTTGTTTCTGATCTATTTAGAAAGCAAATGGCACCGAGAGCTCACATATCTGTATGTGAATTGTAATATGTGCCCCTGGCTTTCCCCAGGGGAGGGAGCCCGCTGGCGTACGGATCTGTCCCCACATGCTCCTTGGCCAGGCACAGCCTGTACATCATTCACAGCAGCTCCGATTCTGGAATTAGCTCAAGTTCTGGAAGTAATCAGGGGAATTGAAGGTGCTTGTACATGGAGCTACAGAGCCTGTTTTCTTCTGGTAATGCATTTAATCAAGACCAAATGATTATAAAATTTCTGAAGGCCTGTGATATTTTCCTAATAAAACATTTTTAAAATTCACAAGCATAGCATCCAGAATCTTTGCATTTTTTTCAAGTACATTATTGTATTTCAAAAAAAGGCTTTCATTTTAAAGACTCCAGTATTTCATGAATTTGCAAGTTCATATGTTCTATGGATTTCTTGCAGAAAGCCAAGAAAATTGCCAAAGATACTAAAAGAATGATCTCTCGATCCAGTGCAAAGGCTGACTTTCATGTCTTGAATTTATAATTTGGTAGAACTGAGAGACAGACACTGACATAAAAAGAAGGCTCCAGAGACAATTCAGAGATGGGAAAATCTTGCTGAACCCGAGTCCCTCTGCAGACCGACATCAAGCACAGCCTGGACCCCTGGATGAGCCCCATGCTTCCGGTTTCATGGGATATCCAACTACTCGGCAGCATCCCTGGATGGGCAAAGTTATCACAGACTCTCAGTGTTTAAAGTCATCATTGCCCTACAGTTCTGCTCCCCTTGATGTTTTCTGTGCCTCTGTGCCAGTGAAGGGTACCACCATCCAACTCTTCACTGAAGCCAGAAAACTGGGAGCCAGGTAAAAGTCCTCCCTCTCCTTTACCTCTCTCCATGCACACAACAGCCACCATATCCTGTTGATTTTATCCACCCACTTCCCCACATCTATACTGTCACTGCCGGGATACAGGTCACTGTCATCTGTAATGAGACTGCACCAGTTGGCTTCCCTCCCAGTCCATCCTCCACACCAAAGCCAGAGTGAAACTTCCAAAGTGCTTTCTTATTGGCCTCATTATAAAGTCCCAACCCACAGTGGCTTCTCCTGGCTCCAGCCTCCCTCTCCAGATTCCTGCTCTGCTGAGAGACCAACGATTCCAAGATTTCAGGAGGTGGTGTGTTCTCGTTATCTCTGGTCTTTCCCACTGGAGGTTCCTTTCCCTGCTTCTGCTCCATGGTTGTCTGCCACTGGCCTTCTCCTGAGATCAGCTAGAGGTCCTCCACAGGCAGGAGAGGTGTCTTCGCCACAGGCCCCATCACAAGCTCTGCTTCACCCATCACAGAGATGCTGTCTCTCTGCCTCATCTGGAGCACGAGCTGTGCCCCACTTCTCCATCACCACAGCCTACTCCCAGCACCATGCCCAGTCCATAGCACAGACTAATAGGTACTGCTTGATTCAATGAGGAAATGCCTTGTTTATGTTTCTTTTAGACCTTGAAACTAAAGGAACAAACATAAAACAATGCCAAGCAATGTAAAAACTGTTTTGTAAAAATTAACATCATTTTCCCATTCAATTATGTTCCTCATTTTTTTAAAACTAGGATTCTCATTTCCTAGGGCCCCCTTTGTCCTGCTTTTCTTTCCAGGGCTGTCAGAGTGGCTGTCTACTGGGGTATCTGCACAAGCCACAGATCAACTTGCTCTGTCCTTGGAAAATGTCACCCTTTGCCTCAGAACCCAGCCAATCTCCCCTGACCCGGGACGTGGGGCTGAGATGAAGTGCAGAGTCTCTGAGTGAGCACAACTGGAGCATGTGGGCTCTGGAGCTGTCGGGGAGAAACAAGCTGTGACAGTATGCTCAGAGAAATCTGGTATGGAGGGAAAGGTGCGTGCACGCACACACACACAAACGCGCGCGCACACACACACACACACACACACACACACACACACACGGGTCAAGGAGCTGACAGAAAGTTCCAGGCATTCCTTTCCACAGGCTTGGTAAATCCCTGCCATTGATTTTCTCTTGAGACAGTCCTTTAACCTTAACATAAATATCCCCTTTTACGGCTTAAGCCAGGTTAAGGTGAGTTTACATCTAACAAGCATGATAATATGGTTTAAATGAAATCCAGTGAAGTACCATTTAAATACACAGGTAATTTCCAGGAAATGCACAGCAGTGCATGAAACATGGGCTATTTATCAAGGGGGTTCCCTTAGTCTTCCCGGATGAGCCCACCACATGATGTGCACCCGAACGTCACTGTGGTGGCCACCATGCAGAGGCAGCCTGGAGAAAAGGGCCACTGTCTGGACAGAGGTCTTTGAAAAGGATAACAGAAATGTCAGAGCTTAACAATGAAGGTTCTTGCCAAAAGAGAAAAGTGCACCTTGGACTGCTGTAGACGTGAGAGCAGAACTTTAAGGGCTCTGATGCATGGAGCCTCAAGTAGGGTGCTGGGTAAAAACTCAAGTCCCTGAGCCCCACCCCAGAGCTGGTAATCAGTGTCTGGAAGGGGGACTGTGCCTTCATTCTCTGTGAATAGGCTTGGCAGGTAACTGGTACGCTCAGCACATTTTGGATACACTGCTCTGACGCTTGTGACCCTAGAACTCATTTCAGGGTACAGTGAAAAGACCAGCAGCAGTGCTGGCACCTTGGGAGCTTATAAAGGACATGATTAAAAGGCGATCAATTACTATTGTACCAATTTTTTTTTCTCTTCCCTGTCCTTCTCTTGGTTTCTCTCTCCCCAAAGGAAATATTCCTTGGGAAAAAATTTTGTTTCTTGTTCCCTTCATTTTGGTCCTTATTCAACCCTCAAAGGAGGTGATGGACCAGCTGTTTGATCAACACATCCTTTACTTCCTTCACCTTGTGGCAGTCATATCCTGTCTGTCAAGTTCCCTGGTCCGAAGGGATGGGAAAGGAAGCCTGTGCCAAGCATAATGAATAGCAATAACTTTCTAAATTCACTGTATCTACAATTTCTACCCAGGAGTTGAATTTCATTAATCAGCCTGACCGATTTTGGGGTAGGAATAACACACAAGGGTCCTACCTATTTGAACTGTTTAAAATTAGAATATATTATGCAAAAGACCTGTTCTCACCTACCCCTCCCAACCACCAAAATTAACCACAGTTGACTAGACTGGTATAACATGACTTAAGAAAATAAACTCAATGAAATGCCCTCGCAACTGTCACAGGTAGAAAGCATTAGTACGCAATACAATATCAATCCTCTTGGAGCCCACTGTAATATCTATGTTAGCACTGTGAAAGGTTTCTGGCATATATATAAGTTGTGCTATCCCCTTTGCCTAGTCCCAGAGGAGAAGGGAAAACCAACAGATTGAAATTAATGATGTATATTTAGGCAGTCAGCTTATTGGACTGCTGCCTCAAGCCAGAGAAAACCCTATATATGGAAAATTCCCAAGCAGAGGAGGGGCTGGGGGAAAGAGACAAGGTTTTAATAAACAGCCGAAGCTGTCAGTTAACTACTAATGATTTCTGAGCATTTATTGAAAACATCTTAAAATAACCAACATAAAAGTGAAAAAGTGAACCATAAAACCAAACAGTCTCGTGTTTTCTGCTAAAGACTCTGATTACTGAAATAATCCTTTAAGACAAAATCCGTATTTTCACATAGCATGCACAAAACGTGAATTGTCTATCTTTGCTCTCTGAATTTCCATGTACCCTCAATATGGGTTAGGTGATCAGGAATAATTTATAATCCCTATCACAAAGTACTTCTTATTTTCTCCTTCGAATATTCTATCATTGAAAGCCCCAAAATATAGCTGGAAAATATGATCTAAAACCATGAAGCTTAGGTAGGTAAATGTTGAAGGTCATACATAGATTAATAAGAACTATCAGCTTAAAAGGGAATCACAGGGTTAAAACGAAGCACTCGGGAAAGGAGCGAGTGTGGTGAGAGTTGACTCTGTCAGTGGACACAGCTGACCACAGGATCTCAAACAAAATTCTGGGCTGCGTACGTAGTTGACAAGTGTTATGCACATGCAGGTTTTTAAGCCATCCTTTCTCTTTATAATTGTCCCTCGACTGGAAAAGAAGTCTTTGTTTTGTCTTCCATTAAATGCTCATGGACCATACCAAGAAATCAAAAATTGAAAAAACCCCATCCAACCCCATGCCATGTAACGACCTCTTTCTTTATGGGACAAGTGCTTATACATGATTCATTGTCCAGGTGGGGGACCCCTGCCAGGAAGTAGATCCCCATGCGGGAAAAGAAAGCAAACCTTACCTGGGTAATCATTCTTGTCTAGGTCTGCATCCCCTCTTAAAGCAAAGCCAAATCCAGAAGGGACCAGCTGTGAGGCCCACACTCCTTGCAGAATTTGGGAAGGCCTGACATTTAAGCCGTCCTGGTTCCCATTGTAAATGAGCACTTTGCCTCTCCGATCCTCGCCAGCAAAGGGTACACCAATGGCGATGTCTGGGGACAAACACATTTGGAGATAAACAATGCTTTAGAGGGTCAGTGCTTCTGCCACCTGCCTCACAAATACAAGGACCTGAGTTCTATCCCTGATACCAGAAGAAAAAAAAAAAAGAATGCTTTAGAAATAGTTAAGTACAATAAAACAAACAATACTATAAATCCAAAGGGATCATGTTTTACATGGGAGTTCTGTAGCTCTGAAGCAATAATAATTATCATCAGGGGATTAAGGGAAAAGACAAATCAAAGAAAACACTATTAAAAGACACCTCAGATGATTCAGCATTATTACTTCCCTTAAATGGTAGATAAGGAGTAGGGCAGTTGGGAAAAACAAGTCTCTTAAAGAAGATCTTGACTTTTTTTTTATTCCCTTGAATCATAAGTGTTTAATATGCACTTATGAAACTTTAAAAAATTACTGAGTTTTTATTTCAAAGCAATCATAAGAGTACAGTACTCTTACCAAAAGTGCCAGTGGGTGCTGATCTGATGTAAATGCTTCCTAGATAGCACGTGGCACAGCATGTTTCTGTTACCTTCTTGACTTAGACCAAGAAACATGCAATCCTACGGTTCTTCCAGATCCTGAAAATGTCCGGAAAATTTTCTGTGTACATGTGCGTTTTTCTGAAGAGAGGGTACTTAAAAGGCATCTATGAATTCCTAACTTGAAGAACCACAAGCCTAAGCTAAGGATTTAAAACTGTTCCATTGCAAACACTGAAACGGGCTTTCCGCTGAAGTTGACAGACCAGGAAGGACTCAGCACAACCTGTCGGTAACCCATCCATATATGTTAACCAGAACGTACTATACTTGATAACACATCGATGTGTATACCTTCATCTTGACTCTGCACATATAGAGGATTTTCAAGTTCCCTTCAGGATACTTTCGAGAGCTCTTGCAAAATATCCTAAATCATGTATGAAAAAATTCCCACAATGTCTACATTAGTCAAAACATTCCTTGCTTTGAGATTTTTTATACTTTATTAAAACCCAATAATAATAACAGTGCCCCCATACCACCATATTTTAAAATGTCCACTGTTTCTTTCCTGGAGCAGCAACACACCAGCAGGACAGGAAGGACATTGGTTGAAATTACCGTTGTATCCGTCTTGGTTCAGGTCCCCCAAGTGCCCCACGGCACTACCGAATCTCCCGAACGTCTCAGTGCCCCTGAGGACCTGTGGGTCCCGGAAGAGGAGGGCGCTCACTTGCAGGTACAGGTAGACCTGCCCCACTTCTCTGGGATTACTCTCAAATTCGCGTTCCATGAAGAGAGGCGCGCCAATCAGTACATCGTCCATTCTGCAGGGAACAAAGAGAACAGTCCACAAACGAGAGCCAGGAAATTCTTTTCCCTGTCCTGGTAATCAGCTAGATTAGTGCATCTCCACAGGCGTTCTCCTGTTCCAAGGGTCACTTTACAGTCATTGTATCTCTTTCATTGCTTTGTTATGTCTTCAGAGGAGAATGCTGTAAGAAAGTTAGTTGTGAAATTATCGTGTTAAACTTTTTAACTTGTTAAAAACAACCACTTTAAGGGAACCACAGATATTTCTCATGTTAAGCTTTTGAAGTGCATTTGCAGAAACTGTAATTGCACAAGAAAAACACACCAAGAAGACCTAACTAGGTCTTTTTCAAAAAGAAGATGAGTTCGTTTGCAATTTTGACAGCTATTATTTAAATTACGCAGCTTTCTTGCAGTAATAAGGTTTACCATAAAGTTTTCCTTTTGTTCCCCCTGTTGTTAACAGAGAGGTGAATAATGCTGGCCAGAAAGACAGAAAACAAAGCTTTAATCACTGACAGAAATGTACAGTTATTTTTTCTCTATGTAGATGATAGCAGGAAACTAATAGGCGATATTTTAGGCCTAAAATATTCAATAAACAGACACCTAAGCAAACTATTTAAATATGAAGCATAATCTTCAGACAAGTGGAAAACAAAAGTGTTAAAGATAAAGATGTTTTCTTCACGGAGCCAGAGGAATAGAAAAGTTTTTTTTTTGTCATGAGCCCTCTAAGATGTTTGATTTTTACTTAAAGTTTTTTTAAAGTTATACAAACCAGAATGCATAATTTGATGTCTACTAGTGACCCCGCTAAAGTTGGTTTAAAGACAGCTTTATCCTGGAAGATGCAAAAATATGAAAACAAAAGACCACTTGATGCTGAAATATAAATGTGTATTGACCTTCGTGTTAAAATAGATTAGGAAATAATGAAGTTTGCCAAGTAACCTAATTACTAAAATATTATGATTAATACAACTTAATTATGTGTCATTAGCATATTACTAATATCCTAACATAGCAAGTTTATTAATATGGTGTGATATATCCTAAAATTGGTACAATGATGTGTAAATATATTAATATTACTATGGATCTATATATCTCATATCATAAATATGAAGATGTACAGGGGAGATGAGAAGAGTTATTAAAGCCAGAAACTTTCCTAAAGAGCTGTGTGTTATGAGAGAAGCTGACTTCACTTCATCCACCCTCTCTCTGAATTCCCACCTTGCCTATGGGCTTAATCTACTGCCTGTTTCTCTGTGTGGGTCAAGAGGTACAAGACCTTGTGCCACATGATTTAAAGAATACAATCCTGACTATTAGGCCAAATAAGTCCCTAACTAATTTGCAAGTGATGATGGGAGATCCAAAGGGATGCTGGGATGCCAGGCAGGGGAGAGGCTGGGAGATTGGAGGGATGAAACAAGGCTCCCCAGTGGAGATGGCTTTGGCCCTGTGTGGGATCCTGACAGGTGGATTCCGAGGTGGGCTTTCCAGATGGTGTGCTGGGCACTAAGGCGAGTGTCCCAGAAGGAGCAGGGTGCGCAGAGTGGTTCAGGTAAGCTCCAGGCTAGGAGGATTCCAACACTTTTACCAGGAAAAATGAAATACAAGAATTCTCAGAACTCAACAATGCGAAATTATAATTTATAACAATACAGTAACATCTGATATTTATAGTACTCTATTACAGTACAACATAATATTTGACATTGTCATCATCATAGTTTGTATATGTATATAATGTACAGTATGAACAATAAGGAAAACCAATTAAAAATTTAATAAAAATCTGAATCGATAACTCATCGAGGAAGACACAGATGGAAACCAAGCATGTGGAAAGATGCCGCGAATCATATGTCATTAGGAATTGCAAATTTAAACAGCAATGAGATGCCACTAGAAATCTCTTCAAATGGCTAACATGTTGGCAGCACCAAATGTGAGTGAGGACGTACAGCAAGGCCTCAGAATTCCACACTGGGGATGCGGAATAATGGGGCCACTGGAAGACAGCCTGGCTGCTCCCTCCGAAGTAGACACAGGCTCACCACGGGATGCACGTTTGTGGCAGTTGCTCAACCTGCACACAGATGTCGACAGCGTCATTGCCCAAACCGGAAAGCAACCAAGACGGTCTTCAAGAGGTGCGTGGATAAACTGCCTTCTCCAACGGAATATTACCCAGCAATTAAAAGAAACGGGCTATGAAGGCATCCGAAGTACATACTACTGAGTGAAAGAAGCCAAGCTCAAAAGGCTGAGTCCCGTGCGAGGCTGACAATGTGCTGCTCTGGGGAAAGCAAAGCTGTGGAAACCATAAGAAGATCAGTGGTTGCCAGGGCTGTGGGGAAGGGAGGAGAAGGAGTAGAAGGAGAGGGGACTAGAGCAGCGAAACTACTCTGCACGACACATGTCAACAGGCATTGGACAAGACTCCGAGGTCCACGTAACACAAAGAGAAAACCTTAAACTACAGTCTCATCGATAATGTGTAATCTAAGACGAGCTCTTCCCCATATACCCACAGCAGTGGACGCACTGCACAGAAAAGCACCTTGAGCATTTCCAGGTGGCCAGACTGACAAGGAAGTGGGGATGGTAGCACAGACCTGGAGGAGTCGATGTTATTTCAGTCTCAGATTCCAAAACACAAACTGGATTTCTAAACTTAGGTAAAAACATTTCAGACACATTTACTTACAAAAAAGAAAAATAGAAGCTCACATTGTTGCTATCGGGGTGGGCTCCAGGCTTGGAGGAGAGGGGGGAGACTGGGGCTCTTCTCATGCCCGCCATGATGTTGGGGAGCCCTGGTTGCCTCTACTTCTGCCATTATTATTGTCAGTATGAAGAAGCATTTGCTAAACCCCTAACTTTGTGTGTGGCTTTCCTCTAGCCTCAGATTAAGGCATCCGTAACTGTTAATCTCAATCATCATCAATTTGACTGGATTAAAAGATGTCTAGCCAAGCCTGGTGATGCAGGTCTGTAATCTCAGTGCTCTGGGAGGTCAAGATAGGAGAATCACAAGTTTGAGCCGAACCTAGGCAATTTAGCAACTCAGTGAAATGCTGTCTCAAAATCAAAAAGAGCTGGGGATATAGCGTCTGCAGATCTTTTCTTCACTCTCCGCTTCGTGGCTGTTTGAGGTGAGTAGCTTTGCTACACCACACCCTGTTGCCATGATATGGTCCCTCACCTCAGATCCACAGCAATGGAACCAGTGTGCCAGGAACTGAACCTCCAAAACCATAAGTCCAGCAAACCTTTCCTCCTTTAAATTGTGAAGGTCAGGTATTTTGCCCTAACAACAGAAAGTGAGTAACAACAGTCAAAGTCGCTGATGCTCTATTGCAGCGATTTAGTGAGGTCATTATTTTCATTCTGCAGAGAAGAAACAAAGCCTTATAATTGGCCCCTGAGGGTATGAGCACATTATGAGCCCAACATAATTGATTCAATACCTTTCTACTTTCAAACACCAACTTCTAGAAATGGGAAATCATCAGACCTATCGGTTGAAAGACTCACATATTAATGAAATCTATGGATTCTAGAACAAATAGGATTCCACGGACTTAATCTATTAGATATATATTGCCCTGGACACTTAAGTGAAAGTTGCCTAAAATGTTCTAAATCCAGAAAGAGAAAGAGGCATTTGTACTTAATGTACAATTATGCTCACATAGAGTTAAGAAACAATAACTGGGGCGGGCATGGTGGTGCATGCCTGTAAACCCAGCACTCGGAAGGCTGAGGCAGGAGGATCCCTGTGAGTTTGAGATCAGCCTGGGCTACATAGTGAGTTCCAGGTCAGCCTCAACTACATAGTGAGACTCTGTCTCAGAACCCCCCCCCCCAAAAAAGAAGAAGAAAAACAGTAACTGTCTCAGATTTAATTGGTACAGTGTGCTTTGCAGAACATTTTGCACTTAGTGTAAATATTATTTTATATTAGCAACACTGCTTGATCACAGTACATATTATAGTTTAGCTTGTGTTTTAAAATCTTGATTTACAACCCATTAGTAGATTATGAAATCAACTTAATCGGTCTCTATTAGTACTTTTAAAAAATAGAATAGAATACAGCTGGTTGCACCATCCTGAATTCAAGTTTTCTGCAGTTAAATAGTATTGAGGAATTGATTTAACATATAAACTTTTAAGTTTCTTTTTTCCCAGTAGTACATTTTGCATGCTAATATTTGTGACCAGTATTCAGGGTGTGGTTACTTATTAATCCATTAAAGTAATTTATTGGTCTAATTTTATTATTAATTTAGTAATGTATTAATTAGCTTAGTAGACTCTATAGTAGATTTGACATCTAATCAGGCTCACTGGCTTGATCGGCAATAGGCAATAACAAATATAACTTAATCAATTGCATTGTAGAAATCTATTCAACTTACATTCTTTACACTTTAGTTTTTTAGTTTTTCTATCTAATTTAATCCTAATGATACATTCCGTATGAATAAATGTATTGGACTAAATCTACATAAAACCATAGTTACCTAAATCTGTTTCCTTTCAAAGAGATTTCCTCCAAAATGTTCTCAAGTTAACCCAAATATTTGGAATAATCCATTTAAATGTATCTCCTTTTTAGCCCTGCAGAGGCTGAAACAATTGGTATGTGAAAATGTCCAGTGAACTGATTTGTAATCTTGTGAATTTCTGAAATAGTATAAATAAGTTTGTTCAAAATCCATAAGAAAAAAAGAAAAACAGATTGGCTTGCTTATGCATGAGATGAAAAAATACCATCTTCATTTGTTGTTAACAAGTGTGTTCAGGAATGTCCTAACAAAGTTTGCATTAACAGAGTTTGTGCTGCTTTAAGATAGCTAAACTGCAGTTAATTTTGCCAGTTTGTTTATATCATGCATAGAAAATCATGACAGGTCTGACACTGTCACCCACTAACCCGCAGGCACACGACTGTTTGAGCTAAACTTTTAGAGTCCACCCATAATACCAGGAGAAGTTTCTTAATAACAAGTATTGGGGACGTTTCCAAGAATTTACCTATTTGGTTATTTTGCTTTCAAACTCTGGCTTTTTGTTCCTGATGTTGCGTGATTGTTGAGCATTTGTAAGGACCTTACTTTTGTTGCATGGTTGACAGAGAAGTTCATGTTGCTAAAGAGTGTTCATGAGGTAGCCTGGTGCACAATCACACTTGATTATCTCCTGAACGGAGAAAGTCTGGTTCTGTCCCATAATTGTACATGTGTAAAGGGTTCTCATTTCTGAACCATTGACAATACTTGGCCACATGATACTTTAAAATACACACACACACACACACACACACATATACATATATATATATACATAGATATATACATATGCCATATTATACTAAATACATCATTATCACTGTAATCTCAGACTTCCTTTGTGTTCCCTGTCTTTATCTGCATCTTTGCTTGGCTAGTAGCAACTGCTTGACAAATATACTCCTTTATATCAGACTTTGAATTTACATAGTATAGAAGTAACAAGTTACCACATTTAGAATCTATGGCCACTTTATCATTAGGAATGGCAATATTATAGTTAAAGGATCTGTTCTTTAATGTGGCCTAAAGAATTCAGAAAATTTTACCTAATAAAAAAAAGTAACAGTGTGCATAGAAGTTTTGAAGAATATCAAGAACAAATTTATCACTTGAAAATTCCTGCATTTGTTATGACCATGTTGTTTTGATCAGCAGGAAACCACTGAGGTCCTTTTCTAATTTTTTTTTTCTTTACATGGCAGAGATGTATAATATAAACATTGTCACACAACTTTGCTGTAGTCTAAATCGGGGACATTTCCAGGAAGGAAGAGAGTACCCTGGGGCATACTGTGAAACCTGGGAAAGATGCCAGGATTCAAAATGGGCCCAGCCTCCAAGGGGGAGCACAGGAGAGGGCTCTGTGCCCCAGAAAATGCTGTCCGGCACCCAGGGTGAAAAGCCCTGCACTTGAGATGACCGTGTCAGTGCACATCCTGAAAGGCCACTGTAGTCTTGCTGTCCTGGGTGTAGAAGGGACTCCCTGAAGCCGCTGTACCGTGATGCATCCAGACCGTGGGAGCTTATTTAGCACCAAAAGGAAATGTGGGCCAGGTTTTGGCTTCAAACTCTTCTTCAGCTATCTTCTCTCTAAATTACTAAGAGGCTTTGACAACAATTACAGTCTAAGTCGGTGATCTTGACTGGCGGTCCTCAGACAACCGGCGATGAAGGCCATTTCATGTTGTTAACTCTCACCAGTGTAAGAAGGACACGCTACAAGACCTGTGAAATGTGCCCACAGCACAACTACTACCTCCCTCCCCTCTTTCTGCTCTGGTCCAAGCCACGGTCCTGCCTTCCCTGACCCATGATGACAGACCAGGCACAGCCTACCTAGGAAGCCTCACTCTGAGGCGGTCACGCCCTCACTTGGAACCCTCCATGGCTTCCATGACAGCGTATCCCTGTCTCTTGGGGACAGACTCATTGCTGTCCCCAGCAGAGTCCTTGTGGCGCAGTGGACCACCGTGTGCTGTAATTTAGTGACCTGTGTACCTGCAATCTTATCACGGAGCCTTTCCCTTTGTGTTTGATTTAAAAATCGCATCCTTTTGACTTCCCTCTCACTCCTTGCAGTTCTGCTTTCTAAATACTGATTAATAAATTTGATTTCACAGAGCAGTTTTAGACTCCAAGCGAAGTTGATCCAAAAGTACAGTGTTCTCACTTTATTGCCCTCCCACGGAGAGCTTTTCCCACCGTCAGACCTCCCACCAGAGAATGACACATCTATTTTAATCTGTAAACCTACATTTCATACATCATTATTGAGCAAAATCCACAGTTTATGCCCGGCTCATGCTTAGTGTCGTGCATTCTGTTGGTCTTAATAAATGTACCATGGCAGTGTTTTACAATAGCTTCAGCATCCTAAAAATTCTCTGGTCTCCACCGATTCTTCATAAAATTAAAATAAAATGACATAATCCCCTTTTGGAGGTGGCAGATGTGGAAAATCTTAGTGAAGACATAAAAGAAGAATGACAGAATTCTTTATTAGATACATCCCCTTGTCCTGAGTCAAAACAAAAAGTTAAAACAAGACGGCCTCTCTCTTATTGAGGAAGCATGGACAGAAGGAAGTATTTCATAAAGAGAAATATAACATCTTTATGGGTGAATATCCAGTGAAGAGGAAGTTTATACAAACTTACCCGTCACTGTTAACATCTGATACTACAACAGTATATCCAAAATAAGATGCCATCTGCAAAAGAAAACCATAAGAATGACATATTTTCTGTTCCAAAATTTCTTTTTATAGCCGCCTCTTATTTTGCCTGAAGGATGAATCTCCTTATGGTATATTTTTGCATGGAGATTCACTGACTCAGATGTGGTCTGATTCTTCAGGTCACTTTAGTCTAACCCCTAGCCCAGTGAATAATTTTCCCTGTAATAACCCTGACATCTGTTTGGACATCGTCCGGATGTATTCAACAATCAGCCCATTCAGTCTGTGGATACAGTTACTTGGACATTCCCTGCTAAATGTGGCCCTTCCATAACTTCTAGTCCTTAATCCTTCCTGGTTCTGCGGTTTTTAAATCCCACAGAATAAATCTAATCCTATCTCCATATGAAGTCTCATAGGAGAATATTTTCAAATCATGCGCCATCTGGCCCCTCTTTCTCAGAGATACTACATGACATAATCAAGAGCACAGAAGAATTAGGTTGGTTTTCTACTCTCTGCTTTGTCCTGTTTCTATTACTGAAGCATAACGTTTTCCTGGTGGGAGAGATCACATCTGAGCATCCATTCGTACTGAGTTTTCCATGAATGTAAGCAGTGTCCCACGGTGTTCCCACATTTTAGGAACACTTGTTCAACATTTACAAGTCTAATCAACTTCCCTCAGGGTCACTTTTTCCCAAATCTTCCACAGAGCATCATGAGGGATATGAAATGCTTTGTAAGTATTTCACAAGCATAAGTAGACTGAAGATCCAAATTTCAGCAAAACGATATCAAAATTATTTTGTGTTCATGTATAACCTCGATGATCAGTTTTTGCGGCACGACTCCCTTTAGATGGCAGGACCATATTTGTATATAATGTGCCAGATTTCACCACGGGACAATACCCAGATGAGGAGTGACCTCAGACCACATTTGATCAGGAAGGTGGTCGGTTATTTTCAGGCTAGTGACACATTCACAATAGGACTTCAGCTCACAACAGTTTATAAAGATCAGTACTTAATCTTTGGGAGGAAGGGCTCAGAACCACTACTTTGTCGAGACTCTGTAGGACGCTGAGACTCGGGGGACTTCCAGCTACAATGAGTGACAGGCAGAAGTCCAGCAAAGGCCTGAATTCCTGAGGACCTGCACCTACCTGGGTCCCAGAGGCTCTCTCTCATTCCCAGCTGCTTTTCCAACAGGTGCACCACCCTGCCCAGGGCTATCACTTGCCATTCGCCATTATTTACTCACTTCACTGAGACCCTGGTCCAGTCTACGCACAGCCTCAATGAATTTTTATTTTTAAATACAACCTACGGTGGCCGAGAGAACTTCCTGAGTAGGACATGAAATTCTCTCTCTGCCATCTCGAGAGTGGGGGCCCCCTAGAGGACCATCTGGGCAACACCTTGCAAGACAGGAGCTCACGCAGGCACTAATGTCAGCTTTGAGGCATGTGTGAATTCTGAATGTGAACTTACTGAGAACATAACTTGAAATGAGAGGGTTGCTGATGAAGGCTCATGGGAGAAGCCCTGGCCTCTGTCTCCACAGCTCCTACCTCTCTCCTGTTTGTCACAGCCACTGTGGCTTTCACTATGTCCCTCAGACCTGCCCAGCTGTCTCCCGCTGGAAATCTGTCATTGTCTTTGCATTAGATGTCATCCCCCTTTTCCACCCCGCCATGCTATATACATATTATGGAAAAATATATATAATATAAATATTCTATTTCCTTCGTATCACTGAAAATTAGCTTGAATTGTCAAGGTCATTTATTTGTGAATTCACTCATCCCTTTATGTCTTATCCACCACACAGCTGCATGACAGCTGGGATTCATTGGTCTGATGCACGTTGTAACCCTAGTGCCTAGAACAGTTTGTGGTGCATAGTAGGTGCTCATTAAATATTTCCCAAGTGAATTAATAAATGATATTCATATTAAAGTATACTGCTAGCATAAAATGATATTATTTCATACTAAAATGTCTTTACCTGTTCACCAGTGAAATTCTGAATAAAAGTCATATCTGTAGAGTTAATGATTGAGACCTGAAATCACAGAAATGTGAGAGGCGCATCATTTGCCAGAGAACTAGAGAAGTCAATGTTTTTAATTGCAACCCAAATCAGTTAAATTTGTGTGATGAGTAGGTAATAGTTGGTTATATATAATAAAACACAAAAATGTTAGCCCACAAAGATGATAAGGAAGTTCATTAAATTTTTTAATATGCTTAAGTCTAGGATATTTTCAGACCAAATTCATGCAGAATTGGTAAAAGTAATAGTTGAATTCAAGAATATTGAGAGTGATTAACCTGACAATCAGTTAATTTATTTAATCGTGATTTTGGTCTAAATCTATTTCTGTTCTCATGCTATTATAAGAATTGATCATTTTGATTCTTTGCCAAAAAAATATTTTAAGTGCTATCCATACAGCAAAAATATTCCTTTTAATCCTATTTAGCCAAAACCAAATCTGTAAGTATTTCATGCTTCCTAAATGTCTATGAAAAGATAAATATTGGTCCATATAAGTTCTATATACATTCTTTTATAAGATCTATATATACTTTTTTTTTTTTGATCATTTTGATTCTTTGCCAAAAAAATATTTTAAGTGCTATCCATACAGCAAAAATATTCCTTTTAATCCTATTTAGCCAAAACCAAATCTGTAAGTATTTCATGCTTCCTAAATGTCTATGAAAAGATAAATATTGGTCCATATAAGTTCTATATACATTCTTTTATAAGATCTATATATATTCTTTTTTTTTTTTTCTGTTTTGGTACCCGGCATTGAACTCGGGTGTTTGCACTTGCCACACAGGTGACAGAACCACTAAGCTAAATCCCTGGCCCTATTCTTTGTAAGGTCTTTATATATTCTTTTCTAATTTCATAGCAACTAGTTATAATGTGCTTTAATAGTATCCATCCCAAATTCATATCTACTTGCAACCTAAGAAGGTGACCTTCTTGGAAAATAGGGTCTCTGTAGATAAAATTAGTTGATGATCTCAGGACTCGCTCATCTTAGGTGACCCACGACCCATTGGCTAGTGTCCTTATAGAAACAAGAGAAGATACGCACAGAGATAGAGGAAAGAAGGCTGTGTGGAGATGGAGGCAGAGATTGAAGTGATGTTGCCACAAGCCAAGGAAAGCCAGGAGCCACCAGAAGCTGGAATGGACAAGAGAATCCTCCTCTAGATGTCTGGAGTGAGCATGACCCTGCCCTCAGCGTGATTTCAGACTTCTGGCCTCCAGAACTATGAGATGATAAATGTGTTTTAAACCACTGTAGTAAAAGAACACCGTAGTGAAATAAAAAGTGATTGTGTTGTTCCTACCATGTGAGATATATTAAAGGGCTGATGATAAAAGGGCAGGCTGCACAATACTTCTAGACTGTGCATGAGACAGGCCACCTACCTCTATGGCTATGGGCCTAGAAGGCTCACAACGTGGTTTAACGTTCTGCCTTTGCTGCCCTAAAGTTTTTAATAATTTAAAATTTTTGATAAATATAAGTCTTTGCAAACAAGAAATGCTCGCCACACTTTCATTTTGTACTCGGTCCCACAAATCCTGGAGCTAATCTAGCCTCACTTATTTTCTTTCCTTCTTATGAGCAAATGCCTTGAATTATTTGGAGGAATTCAATATTAAAGGAAACTTCAGAAGACAAAAATTACATGCAAGAGAGCTTTTTTTGCATCAACAAGAAAACATCTCAGGAGGGATTCTGAGTACTCACATATCCAAAGTTCTGTGCCCCTCTTGGAACTCCAGCAACCAGTTCTGGACATAAAAATAGATATTGAGAAGGGAAATTGCATACGTATTTAAAGCTGTACAGCAAACAAGTGGTAAAGACAGTACTTTTCAAATGAATAACCATTGTGGAGAAGTTTAGAAGTTGGAAGTCAGGATTTTACATTTACTTTTTTAATCCACTTTTTTTGTTGTTTTTTGACAGGAAATAGAACAATAGAAGTTGTATTTTTGAGATGTTCCCATCTTTATACCAGACTGCATGCGTTTCTGCCTCTAGAACTGAAGCTTGGTTTCTTAGTCTGCTTGTGGTTCTACGTTAAACTCCTTACTCTGATGTTGCCAGCTCTTGCTCAACAAAATGTGTTTTGTGCTGGCATAAAAGCACAGCTCCAGTAACAGTAATACACTAAAACAATTCTGGCTACCAAGCGAAAGTATTGTATCATACATAACAGGAAACTGACTTCCTGGACCTGTCAGCCTCCTACAACTGCTTTAGAGGCAACCTGGCTGCCTGTGTATCCCAGGAAGGAAGCATCAATAGGAGAGGAGACAACTCCGGGGGTGGGAGGGCAACATACTTTGATGGACCTGGCCTGGATTTAGATTCTAAAAAAAAATGGTTCCAATGTGGAGTCTGCCATATCCCTGAGTTGAGTCACTGAACTTAATTTTTCTGTGGTCCCTTGCCATATATGGGAGTTGGAATAACTGATTATCAAAAATCTGTTCTACTTTAGATTCCAGAAACTGAAACTTTTTTATTCATAAAGGTTTAAAATTTGGCACAAATTTTTTTTTTTTAAAAAAAGGGCATTGAAGAGACACATTTCAGCAGTTTGTCACTAAGTGTCTGGAAGCTCATGGCCATGCTTTGAACACCTCTTGTAATGATAGGCCTTGAAAGTAACTTGTATTAATTTGATGATGTCCCAACAAATTTAGTATTAAAATATTTATACATTTTCTGTTCCTGATATATACTTGTTTTGGTGGACTCTGTATTTACAGATGGCTGGCATGGGATATAGTAGTGAACAAAACAAAATTCCCTGCTCTCTTGGGGCTTATATTCTACTTGGAAGAAGCAGTCAATTAAAAAAGAGAGGGTTTAATGGTAGGAAAAGACAAATGTAGTGGAGAAAAATTAAGCAATAAACTGTACAGGGTGTGCTAATGTTGGGATGGGAAAGGAGTTGCTGTTTATTAGGATAATCATGGGAAAGTCTTAATGAGAACATAACATGGGAGGGACAGGGATTTAGCTCAGTGGTTCCGCCGCCTGCCTCTGAAGCACAAGGACCCGAGTTCGATCCCCGGTACCCCCCCAAAAAAAGAACATAACATGGGAGTGAAGACTAAAGAAAGGGAGGAAGTAAATACTGTGGATGTCTGGAAGAAGTATGTTTTTGTTCCAGGGAACACCAAGTGCAAAGGCCCTGAGGTAGAATGTGTTTGGAGTGATTTGAAGGGATGCAAGGAGCCCAGGGTGACTTGAGTAGAGGGTATAGAGGTAAAGAACTGGAGGGTGAAGTCTAATGAATCAGAGCCAATTAACAGAGCTTTGTAAGTCGCTGTAAACACTCGGGTTCTAGGCTGAATGCACTGGTGAATTAGTGGGAGGGAAAATTTACTGATCTGACTTCTGTTTGGAGAGGAGCGCTATGGCTGCTGGATTTGCACAGCCCATAGGGGAGCAGGGAGACCAGGGAGGAGGCTACTGTAGACATATAAGTGAGGGTGAACTTCCTTCAAAGTAGAAGTCATAGAGGGATTAAGAAGTGGTCTGGTTCTGGTAGGGCTTTGAGGGCTCAGCTGGCAGGACTCGCTTATGGACTGGATGTGGGGCGTGAAACAAACAGAACTCTCCACAGCTGACTTCCAGGGTTTCTGGCAATGACAACCGATTGCAACGGGCAGGGTGACAACAGAGGGCCGAGTGTGTTTTACTCTGAAGGTCAGGTGGCCAGGCACCAGCACATCCAGTGTGGGATAGCTACTCAAACAGAAGCACTGAGGACAGAGCTGGAGTCGTGAGCCTGGAATCGAGTCTAAACTGGAGAGATGAATGCGAGCTGGGTGGGACCACCGAGAGAGAGCCCCTAAGTTTAGTTCCGGGCACTCCAGAGAAAGGAGGGAAACAACAGTGGCCAGGGCCAGCGAAGCCAAGTGGACAAGCGAGGAGGGAGGCACCTTTCACCCAGTGCTAGTGACAGTCAAAGAAGATGCCTACACACGGGCCTCGGGTTTCCTTGGCAACAACTGTTCCAAGAAGCAGCAGAAACCCAGCAAGAGGGGGATTAGGGGAAGGGAGCTGGTGGTCAGAGACTGGGGCTGGAGAAGGCAGTGGCAATTCCCTCAGAGCAAAGAAGTACGGGCAGCAGCTGGAGAAGGGAGAGGGCGAAGAGCTCTGCTCCTTTTTCTAAGATGGGAGAAACAACAGCCTGCCTCTGTCTCCGTGGGAATGAGGTAGGAGCGAAGGAAATGCGGACCCGGTAAGATAGAAAAGCAGGGATTTCTAGAGGCCCATCTCTGAGTGGTGAGAGCGAGTCTGAGCTAGGGCAGAGCTGGCTCTACAGCAACAGGAGGGAAGGTGAGGCATGCTCCTGAAAAGAAGACAAGGATCAGAAAAACCAAGTCATCGGGATGCCTTCCCCAGTGAGGGAAGCTTTTGGAGGTTTTCAGTAATTCTTTCTTTTTTTCCCCCCTGTGGTACATGACAAACCACAATCACATATAATGGAGTTGACCGATTTCAAAGTCAGGCCTGTCAATTAAGATAGATTATGCCATCTAAAATGCAGGGCAATCACACTACTTTTCATATCCCACGAACATTTAGAATCTTAATTTTTTAAAAAGTCAGCCATCACACCCAGCAACTTTGGAGTCTATAACTTCCTATGACCCCTCCGCTAAGGAGCTACTAAATGTAATGTTGATTAAAGACATTCAGAACTGTTTGTAAATGATTGGGGCCATTTAATTGTTTGAGGCACAAGGCAAATTAGAACTGTCGCTCAAGTTCACCAACTTTTATTTTGGAGGAGAAAATAGGAGAGTTGTGTTAAATCCATTCCAATAATTCATGGTGAAAGCTTCAGAAGTTTCTTAATATTAACAATATGTTCAGGAAACTTTTAGGTCTTTGACCTGGAAATTCATGGCTTGGACATCAAACCCACTGCAAGTAGCAGAAAGGAGGCCCTACCATTATTGAAAATGTTCCACCCACTAGACAATGAGCCATGTGCTCTGTCAGATCTCCCTCCTCTCACCGCGAAAAAGGAGGCATCGATCCCCATTTTGACACATGGGGGACAGAGCTAATAGCTGGTGAGCAGCAGATAACAAGAAATGACGGCTAAGTCAAGCTTCTTCGTTCTGTGTCCAGTTACTTTCTGGGAACCAGCCAAGACCTGACTACTTTTGGGAGTATCGCTTACCACATCTGACATCAAAAGGAGAACAAAAGCTCTAAACCTTTTCTGACTCATGGACACATTAGAAACCGGAAGAAAATCATTGGCTCTCTTGCCAGAAGTATGCAAACACATACAAACCTTCTAGGTAATTCCTCGGGGTTCAAATCCAGTGAAGCCTTTCACGGATCGCTCAGCCAAAGGACAGCAAGTGATTTTTCACAGAATTCCCAATCCCTCTTGTCTAATTTAAGCAAAGAGTAGACACGGGTAGCCTTGGATCTGTAGTGATCTCATAAACTAACTGATTTTCTTACAATGCTTTTATTTTATACATCCACTTAAATTTGGATGCATTTTCTAGATATTTTTGAGAGCCAGTATAAAATCACTATTATTATAATCATAGTTCCCTAGAATGTGCTGCTGTGTGTCATTGCTAATTTCCTTGAGTCAGAACTGAGAGCTGTTTCGGAGAGTGAGTGAACAAAAGCCCTAGTGCCTTATTTTAGTAAATCATTTGGCATGTTACACAATTTCCTTTGCTAAGTTGCTAAGTGAGTGATTATAAGATTTGACTTTGAAAAATGTACCACTCATTTCTCTCTGATGGCCCTTAATCCAGTGGTTATTTCTTATGTACAGGGAATTGTTCTGGTTTAAAATTTAGAAAATGAGCTCATTCATTCATTCAAGTACTTTGAGATCGGCCATACTGTATTCATCAATCCCTACTGTGGGAATGAAGAAATGGAGGCACGAAGACATTAGACAATTTCAATTTGCCTAAAATCCCAACACTGGTGAGTAATAAAGTCAGGGTTTAAACTCAAGAGGTTTACATCCAAAGTCTCTGCCCCCTTCTCCACCACAATATACTACCTTTTAAGAGACTGAAGTAAAAGTAATGGAGAGGGTCTTTAAGAATCAGCTTACATTTAAAAGAAAAATGATTATTAGCATTCCCTCCCAATCAACAAAGCTCTATGGATTTCTATTTGATGTAACCTGTCAATATGAAACTACTGGAAATCTGTGCTAATTCCTAGAGAAGACTCTATTTCACTTTTGCTTAATTATTTCTGATTAGTTAAGGCATTTATATCAGTGACAGCTAATGTTCATATGAAACAATAAAATGGAAAATACTGATTTCCTTATTGGCCCAGTCAATACATATTACTAGTTAGTAAAAGCAGCTACTTATTGCCTTGTATGTGAAAAATATTTAACGCACCATCTCATGCAATCTTCAGAATATTTTCAGTTATGTCAGATTAGCATCATTTAAAGATATATAAATGAACATTAGAGAGATTGCCACATCCCAAGAAATATAGTCAGTGAGGTCAAAATTTGAACCTATATAGATCTTGACTCCAAAGATTCAATTTTTATCAGACTATTTCTCAATAGAAGTCTATAACAAGGAGAATGTGGTCTAATCTTTGTGAGGGAAATAAATGAGAACAATACATAGATTTTGCCTTCAAAGAGCCAGGTGGGAGCATAAAAATTCTACACACAACACTCTCCCCTCCCCTCCCCAAGCAAGTCTACACATGAAGCAGCCAGTGTGATTTTCTTCGCTCCTTCTCTCCCTTTCTTGTTTCTTTCCTTTCTTCTGTTTTTTCAGATTGTAATTGTTGCAATATAAATATGAAATGACTCCCAAAGACTCATGGAAGGCTTTTGTCTCCCCTACAACAACTGTTCAACGGTGGGGTCTAGAGAAGGAAGTATATCGTGTGGCCACTGATCTACTGATGAGTTCAGTAACTGAAAGGGCTGCTGGGAAGTGAGGCCTGGTGCAGGAAGTGGGACCGTGGGCCTGTGACAGCTACGTATCTTCTTGGTCTCTTTCCCACTCTCTGCTCCCACGATACCATGAGCTGAGCAGCTCTCCGCCACACCCTTCTGCCCTGACGTTTCCGCCTCAGAGCCTCTCAACTGGTGGACTGAAACTTCTGAAACTCTGAGCCAAATTAAATCTGCCCTCTTTTAAGGTATGCGAGGTATTTTGTCCCAGCAACAAAGAAGTGACAAGTGCAACATTATAATCAGGTTTTATTTACTATTGTACTGAAAGCCTTCACGGCTGCTCGATATTTCTCATAAATTGCAGAATCTTTTGTATGACTACAAGGCCTAGCATGATCTGGGATCTATTCCCTTTCTCCACCTCAGTCTCATTCCACAATCAGTATCAAAGCCTAACCAGTTGAAATAAGTCCCTTGAATACATTTTAGAAGGTAAAAGTGGGCTCCTTGGACTGCTCCCATCCCAGTCCTACTGAAGTGTTTCCTCATCTCCAAAGCCTCCTTTCCTCTGTATTTTGAAGCTTATCCTAGCACTTTCTACAGTATTCAATCTGGTCTTTTGTGTTCCTTCTTTCACATCTATTGGCTTGAGTAGATGGTAAACTCTGAGATCAAGGATCATTTATCTCCTCTATCTGTTCAACAGTTGCCAACAGAACCTAACACTTAGTAGATTATACAAAAATGTTTGAGGAAGCTGGATACGAGGGTGCATGCTTGTGGTCCCAGGACTCAGGGAAGCTGAGGTAGGAGGATGGCAAGTTTGAGCTCAGCCTGGATGGACAATTTGGCAACACAAAGACCCTATCTCAAACTGAACTGAACTGAACTAGACTAAAGTAAAACTACTAAAAAAAAAAAGTATTTTTTAAAAGGTAAAATAAAATGGGCTGGGGATATAGCTCAGTACCAAGACCCTGGGTTCATTCAATCTCCAGTGCTAGAGAAAAAAAAAAAATCTTGAGAAATGAATAGCAAATGTCTTAGAAGAGAGAAAAATGAAATGACACAGAAGTTTACAGAAGGATTTCTGGGGACCGTGACCCTTGAAATTGGTCTAAAAATATATAAACAAAAGCATGTGGCCACTGGTAGATGAGATGGTTACAGGATCAGAGGACTAGAGACACAGCTGAAGTCAAAGCACAGTATAGAATACAGATGCTGAAGGCCATGTATGAGAATGGAAGTAGTTTTTCTTCCGATGGGACTGGCCACGTCCTAAGAGGAAAGGAAAATAATGCTGGCAAGTTTGACTGGAGTCAGGGAGGGAGGGTAGTTTGGGACACATTTGGTATGAGATCCTAGACATTAAGATAAAAGGACGAATCTCGATTTCTTACATTCCATCTGTCACTAAGAGTGTGGCTGATGTCTAAGTCATTTAATTATCTGTACTGTACATTTTTCATTCATTCCAATTTTATATTGCTGAATTACATTTTTATCAAGTTTGGTATTGACTCTTATGAAATTCTTCGAGACTTACAACTGTGTACCAAATTGTGTATACATTTCCAAAACTATCATATGCAATTTGGGATTCCATTTACATACATTTTATATAAATGTGAGCAAAGAAACTCACACTTACAGATGACTTTTATTTCATTTTACCTTTTCCCCATGCTTTTAAAAGGACTTAAGTTGGATGAAGTCTCTCACCTTGCTGAGAGTCTCCAGTAAATTCCCCAGCAGCCACTGAGTATCCTGTTTTAAAGAAAAGAAACAAACCAATCACACTTGATGACTCAAGTAAGTTGTATCTAAAAAAAATAAAAGAAAGTATTACCACAGTACTGCATAAGTCACCGGTCACTACACACATAAAAATTCAGGATTTTATAAAAGGGAAAATTAACCATGCTACTATGAATGTTTCATCCTAAACCCTAAATCCTGCATACACAACAGATGTACTATGTTCTTAAAGAGGAACACAGCAAAACAAGCAAAAACCAAAACCTAGGTTTTGAGACCAGTTTTCAAACAATGAACATTTCGTAATCCACCCTGAAATGTACTTGGAGGCTTGTGCATTTTAAGAGCTACGGATTTGTCTAATCAAACACCATATTCCGACAGGTAACTCTTGTGCTTGTGTTTTGCTGTTTGTGATCATCAACAAGGTCTGCTCCCAAATTCCTTTAATGGTGGTATTCCAGATTTCGCTCAGCTCTAAAGCGAGGTGTCAGCTACAGTGACCAAAGATGACTATCATTCTTTACTTTTCAAATTTATCAAGCCATCAAAATGCCACTAAATGGCTGGGGATTTTGCTCAGTGGTGCCACCGCCTTCATGGCAAGTGCAAGATCCCCAGTTCAATTCCCAGTACCAAAAAAAAAAAAAAAAAAGAGCCACCAAGATCCCAAAGATGGGAAATAGTAGCATGAAATGCCCTTGTGCTGTTTGCACATAATAAAAACTGAGAATGTTAGATGTCCTCCATGACCCTCATGTGCTCATAGGTGCTGCTTTTGGGACGTGACTGGATCAAGGGAGTATGATCCTGGAGTAGTCCTCTGATTGGTTTAGCACTGTTCTGGAAGTGGATGGCGGATGCACTGAAGAGAAAAGCCCCACCCTGCGTGTGGGTGGCACCAACCCATAGGCCTGTAGCCTGGATGGAATAAAAATGGAAAGAAGATGCTGGGTGTCGGGGCGCACACCTGTAATCCCAGCACTCGGGAGGCTGAGGCAGGAGGATCGCTGTGAGTTCGAGACCAGCCTGGGCTACATAGTGAGTTCCAGGTCAGTCTCGACTACACAGTGAGACCCTGTCTCAAAAAAAAAACAAAAACAAAAACTGGAAAGAAGAAAGACGCCTGCTGCTTCCTGCGTGACTTGCCATGAGCTCTTCCTCCTCTGCCGTGCCGCCCTGCCTGGAAGCCAGCTGCCCATGGACTGAAATGTCTACAGAGGGAGCTAAAATAAGCCTTTTCTCATTGAACTTGCAGGCGTTGGGTATTTGGTCCCAGCCGTGAGAAAGTACCTAAAAGACATAGCAAGTGAAAAGGCTCCTGTTGCTGCTCTGGAAGGCAAGCAGGCTCCTGTCATGTTGCCGCGACAGCACTGGTCAACCCCGCTAATACGTAGTGTCGACCACTGGCAAAATAATTTATGTGCCAAGGAATGTTATGGAGCCTACAGAAGAGCTGCTAGAAAGCACAGCACTCAGACTATGTGGATGACATACAGGATGGACCAAAGCACCTTTATAAATTTGTAAAGAAAAGCTCAGTCTACTCTAACCCAGAAAGAAAACTTTCATAAGACGGCAAACAAGTCAGGAATCAAATTTGCCTCCACATTTAATCTGTTGTCTCTTAAGAAACCACACATTTCTTGAGCAATGGATCTCACCGAGGTAACTATCATCATAGGAAGCTGGAGCCACTTCTGTCTGCTTTTCTCCAGCCAGTTTCCGCAGAATATCCTTGAATGAGTAATTCGCAATAACATCGGCAATACTGGCAGTTATCACTTGACCTGTGGTCAAACAAATTAATACTTTAATCGAATGAGTGGAGGGGGCAGGCCCTCCCTCTGCAGACCCGCATCCACACACTCTCTGAAAGCTACCATGGAATTGCTTGTATTTTGATACGAATTTTCCTGCCTACCACGAGACCTGCCAGGAAGAGCTGGCTGCGGTGGGTGAAGCTCTCCATTGTGACAGAACATTATCAAAAATACTGATGAGCTACAATAGTGTGTCTTCCTGTTGTTTTCAGTATACATACTCCCTTCACCTTTAAATGCTAAAAGTATCGAAGAGTTACTTGCCGCTGAAATTTATATGATTAAACTTTGTAGAATGTCCTAGAAGGAAACTTAGAGGTCATCCAGCCAAATACAGCTTTTGTTATAGGTGGCACAAAATGCCTAAGTGTGTTCTCTAAGGTTATATGGTTTTGTTAGTAGAATATTTGACATCGCAACTATCTCCTTTGGCATTCTAATAAATTTTTTTATATTCTTACAAATTATAGATATAGTATTAAATCTAAAGCACTTATACTCAAGAGATTGTAAGAAAGGAGTTACACAATCTTTGAGGATTTCCATGGTAATATAGGCTAATATATAAGAATACATACAATAAATTTATAATAGTAGAAAGTAGCCAGATCCAATGAGATCCTGAATTTCAAAATAAACCAGTGGCCACTGACATTGATATGTTAATAACTTTGGCTAATCTCTCCCAAATAAACACGAAATCGGATGTCATGAAATACGACTGTTTGGGGATACACACATCTCTAAAATATCCCTAACAATTTTCCACCAAAACCTCAATGTATTCCCATACTTCTAAAGCAAAAGTGTGATTTCATGCTCTTCAGGAGAAAACTGGAGAAATGCTTTTGAAACACTAATATATCACCTTAATTTGAAAGCCAAAGCATCCTTTGAAATTTTACACATAATTCTCATTGTCTTTCTATTTGAAATCCAAAAAAGGAATAAGGCTGTCAGAACTGTTGTCAAGTGACTGGGACTGAAATGACTGTTCTGATGTTAAGATAATTGTATTTAGGCACAAATGTATGAAGAATCTGAGTAGAACTTGCCAATTTTTTTAAGGTTAAAAGCTCAATAATCCTTCCCTCTCTCCCACATATACACTGCTTTGGTTTGTTTCCTTTAGCTTGGTCTATAATCCTTATAATCTTAAGCCTGTATGATTTTTTTTTTTTTGTACTGGGGATAGAACTTGGGACCCTGTGCTTGTGAAGCAGGTGGTGGAACCACTGAGCTAAATCCCCAGCCCAGCCCATATGAAATTTTAAGTTATATATCTCAGATAAATGCCTCTACATTTCCTTGCCATGGCTAATTTTCAAATTATTTGTATCAGACTTTTTTCCCCACTTAAAGAAATGGCTTATGTAAAATTAACCACAGAATTAAAGAAAATCTAAAACAAACATGATTTATATGCATCTTTTTGATATTATCTTTTGTTTGCAAAATAATTCCTAAAGATCAAAATGATAATTATTTGATGCTGTTAATTATCAATGCATGAATTAAGCCTAATAGTAATTATGTATTATTTTTTATCATAAATTCTTCTTCCTGGATCTTTCCCATAGGTTTTAAATATGTTCAGGTGTCTTCCAGGTTAAAAGAAAGAAATAAAGTCCTCCCTCAACTACACATCTGTCTCATGTTCTACCCTATTTTTATCCTAACTTTACAGACATGATCCAGTCTGTATTCTTTGTATTTGTAGTAAGCTTCTAATTCCTACCCATGGCTTCAGTTATTGACAATATGTAAGGGATACAAGTTTATGTTCTACCCAAGAGTGCTTCCAGAGGTTAAGCCTATATTCCTAATACTCATGTGAAAATTCTTGGATATCACATTTCCATACTCTGCATAACCAAAACCAAATTCATCCTCTCCTCTCTCCATCTCAGCCCAAACCTATTCTCTTCTATTATTTTCTATTTCAGTGGGTTTTACAGGTGAAGAAATCAGAAACGTATCTTTGACGTCCTCCTGTTCTTCACCACCATCCATCCAATCCGTCACTGAGGCTGTTTATTTTGCCTCCAAAGTATCTCACAAGTGTCTCCTGCTTTCCTCTTTTTTTCAGTCCACACCATCACCACTCTAAGAAGGTCTAGGCAACAGTCTACATTCAAACCCTGTGTGTTTTCACTCATTGTTTCCAGCATCTCACACAGAGCCTGGTGTAGCCCCAAGAAATGCTTGGTGGATAAACGAATTGTTCAGTTGCAAGGATATTTTAAAATATCATGCATATAACAAAGTAAAAATTGAAATGATGCTATAGTCAAGAAACTATGAATAGGAATATAATCTTAATACAGTAAAAAGCGGATATATAGATATTTAATGCTATTTCTGCTTCATGTCCTTGTTAATAACAACAAACATGCTTTTCTTTTCTGCTAACAGAACATACCTTGCCAGTAAAAACTTCCAGGTCCACCTACTATAAGGTCTCCATTCTACAAAACACAACAAATTGGAAAAACAGAACAATAGAGCATAACAGGAACCATTGGAAAAGAAGCACTGAAATTTTTTAAAAGGTGACAAATTATTGCCAATAAGCCTGGCTCTAACAATTTGTTACTCATAAAAAACCACACGAACCTGCAAGTCATTTTGTCCCCCCTCCCTTTTTTTTTTGCTTTTAATTATTTAGTGGGTTATCATTTTAATTTAACACAATTAGGTGACTTGAACCCATTCCCTTAAGAGCATATAAATTCAATATTTTTGGCACTGCCTGTAGTGAGTGAAATATCTCCATGTTTAATGTTACTTTAGCAGATATGGTCTTTTGAAATACCATGGTGATAAAAAGAAAATTCTATTCCAATTTTTTTCAAAGGTGGTTTTTCTTTCTTCCATAAATCTGCAAATCCACCCTTTTATCAGGAGAAAAAAATGAAAACTCCAGGTCAGCAAACATAAGAAAAAAATGAAAAATGAAAAGTCCAGGTCAGAAAACATTTTCTCATCTACTCACAGACTTGCTTTCCATGCCCTAGATCTGTAACTTTCAGTGGAATAAAATTAAAACAGTACAAAAACAGCAATGATAAATACAATGAACATATGTTGATGAAATTTTTCTTTTCAAAACCACTGAATCTTTGCCTCTGTATTTGCACTAGTTATCACTTCTTAGTTTTGTGAGAGTACACGCGACTTCAGTATTAATATTAATGGAAAATCAGGTCATTTCAGGTAAAAGATAAAAACAATTTATAGCTTCTTATGCTTTTTAAAAAATGTATTCCTTTTCTGAGTTTTTGAGATTTTCATTTAAAAATAATTGCTACAAGGGGTAGCAATTTGAATTTCATATGTGTTTCTATACTAAGTTGTCATATGTACACATTACTTAATAGAACTAAAGAGCAAATAGAAAAAAATCTAAGAAGTTGCTAGATATGGCTAGTTATGTACATAAAGACTGGTTGGTTGGTTAGTTGGTTTGTCTGTTTGTGTACCGGAGATCCAATTCAGGACCTTGAGCGTGAAGACAGGCGGAAAGATTAGATTTTTTGCAGAGGTTCAGGAATGAAACATAAAAAGCAACACCAACAATATATACATTAAATATTAGAAACCACAAGAAAAAAACAATCTACCTTATAGAAATCCAGACTAAATCCTGCTTGGCAGTAACCTTGGCCTTCAGGGTCAAGGTTGCCTGGAATGACCAAAATATATAAATGTTACAATAATCATCATTTCAAAGATCTCTTTTAATTCAAGATATGTTCATCTTGATAGACTTCTAAATTTTCTCAGTTAAAACTATGTGCTTTTTATTTATGTAAAAATCCATTCCAAGTAACTCATTAAATATATTTCCATGTATTTTCTTATCCCAAATATTGTGATTCCATAGTAAAATTAACAGGGATTCTGTTTGGGGTGTATTATGTTAGGTTTTTTTGAACATATTGATTACTAACTCTATTTAGGGAATAGAGAGAGAGAAAGCAGTTTACATTGGGTTTTACAGCTCATGTTCATTTGAAGAAATAAAAGCTTCATCTGTAGACTGTGTCCCAAGCTAGCTGCCTATGGGGCAGTAATGTCTCTCCTTTGCCCACCTTGATCTGCCTGCTTTTCCAGGAAGGTGGTGCTTTGAGAACGATCAGGTGTGAGTGTGTGTGTGTGTGTGTGTGTGTGTGTGTGTGTGTTTTCCACTAGGGACACCAACAGAGATTTCCATTTTTATGCTCCTTAATAAGAAGATTCTAGCATGATAAGTTAAGTAAACTGGGAAACTACGTTTCTCATTATAATGACTCTCATAGGGATATTGCAATAATAATGTTCTCAAAAGAAAATACTTTAGTAATGGTTTATTTTGCGTTCTATGCAATCTAACTTACTAAATGAATGTTCAATAAGTTCTCATCATATACTATTGCGGACTATATGCAGGCTAACAACATAGGGCTCCAAGACTATTATTATTATTAAATCCTTTAAAACCCTAGTATTAGGAATTTACTACTTAGAACTTGTAATTTATTAGAGAGTCTATAGCTTCTAAATGCTTAAATTATAGCCAAAATGTAGTTAAGGAGCAGGAATCTTAATCGTTGTACAGCTAGATATGAACATACTAATAACTGTTTCCCTTTATGGAGGCTATTTCTGAACAGAACACAAAATGAGGGAGGAGTAAAAGAAATAAGATAAATGCACATCATCACAGGAACATTTATAGGCATGGGAGGGGCTTGTTCTGTGATGCTGGGGCCTAAACCCCCAGAGTCCTGCCCATGCCAGGCAACTGCTCTACCACTGAGCTAGACCCCAGCCCTTAGAAGCTCTTTGAAATGTATCTGATCCTTTCAGCTCTCCTACAATGTCTTTTATATTCTTCTTCTGTTTGGTCAATACTCAGCTAATTTTAGCATGGTCGTCAATAGTCTTTTCCACATGTTCCCTTTTATTTTGCCAAATAACCTTTCTACCTCATATAGTATATGTTAGCAAAATTTGTTACTTCTTTTACAACTATACATTGTGGTTTGTGGTGATAAATTTTATAGAATTCCTTCAAAGCTCATTTGTATAACCTCAAGTGTCTGGGTAGTAGTTTTCTAGAAGTTCATGGTTATAAATATGTATATGCACCTAGAAATATATGTGAACACATATTACTATGTAAATCTATATGTTGAGTAGCTTAATAAATGTATTTTAAATACAAAAATCTTTTAAAATCCTTTTTTAAATCAACTTTTTATTTTTAATACTCAATTACTCAAGGGGAGGGGGGAATAACCATTCTCGGAAGATATTATGCTTTAAAACAGGAAACACACAAGTGAATATCTTTTCTAATTCGTTGAGAAAATAAGCAACTTCAAGCGTTTTTTCCCGAGTGGCAATTAGAGTATGAAGTTCTTTCCTCTGAAAGCCATTCCTTTTTCTGGTTGAATTATTATTTATGAGAGTTGAAGGAATCATTCTTCCTGGAACTTCAGAGCATTTCTGAAGTGTGCAATTATGTCTCAGGGTGAATTTAGGAATCCAAGGAGACAGGCCAATTGTTCACTACTGTTCACTGCCTTCCAAAGGAAAAGTGAATGGGGTGTGTGTGGACTGTCCTCACCTGAACTATGCGTGACTGTAAGGGCTCAATGTATGTCATTAATATGAATGAGGTCAGCTCTCACATCGCTTACTGTATCCGCTCAGGTCACTGGGTTTGTGGCATAGAATTAGCATAAATTCTCTTTTGAAAATAATATTGCTGATGTCCCTGTTCTGTGATATTGACCATATGCTCGTGAACAAGCTGGCTTTGTGTTAATGAACTGTGAACTTCAGAGCCATGACAGGAAGTTTGCTCTTTGGACGATTTGAAGAGGAAGAAATATGTATAGGAACAAGGATCCCATGAGGATGTGAAAACAGCTGAAACCCTTCTTGGACACTTATTCAGCTATTCTGAAATTCAACCTGAGTGCCATTTTATCTTTTAAGCACTGTTCTCCTACTTAGCAAAATAAAGAGTAAGTCGCTTGACATTGTAATATGCTCATGGAGCTGCAACTGTGAGTGTGCTTTGACTTAACGTATTTTAAATAACGGCTCAAAGTTGCATTGAAACATGTGCCTCCCGAGTCTAGCTTCTACAGGGCTTTATTTTAATCTGAGCTGCTAAGTTGCACAAGCAGTCAGGCCAAGGGGCAGAGCTCTCCACACAAAGACAAGCTTTATGGATGATCGTCCTCAGTGTCAGCTGGAGAACACAATGTGTCATCCAGGCAAAAGGTGTGGGAAGTGTGGGCTCATCTCTTTAGTCACAATACTTTGCAGTTCTCGGGAATCATCTTTAGTCAGTCAAGGAAAACATAATAAAAATAAGTGTAAATGTCGATGAAGCAAATTAAATGTTGAACCTCTTCAGCTTGATAATACCAACCTTTACCAATCCCAAGAGCCAAGCACCTCACCTTCTTGGATGCTGCCTGTTCCTGGAGAGCACCCGCCCTCCCAGCTCTAACCATCACGTGCTCAAAGTTTCCCTTCCTATCATCCTGGCGAAGGACTCTTCTTCTCTTCCCTGTTCCGCAGGCCCAGGTTCCTCCTTTCTCTCTTGCCTGGCTAGATATTTCTTTGTAGCACTTTTCACTACCTGACATTATATTATGAACTTATTTATTGACACGTTTGTTGCCTGTCTCTCCCACTAGAATTTCGGTTCACTGAAGCCAGGGATTTGTTTCCTCCTGTTCTTCAATGTGCTGAACGTAGAATAGTGTGTGTGAAAGTGTTTGGAAGACACATGTTAAATGACTAAGTGATGGAGTTCATTATCTACAAAACATCCTCATTTTAAAGCTCCTTAAGACAAAGTCCTTATTTCACCGATTGTCTGATCAGCTGTCATTCCAAAGACCATAATCTTGCCAAAATGTCACCAAAAACTAATGAGTTAAAAATGGTCCACACCCAGTTCTTGGGAGCTCTGTATCTCTTTAATCTTCTCTCATCACTGAACGATCTTCAATGTTCTAGCTCTGATATTTACTCATTATCTTGCCTAAATTCGTTTTGAATTATAAAAAATACTTGTGCAAAATGGGGCTTAGAGCTGGCTTGCTGTTCAGACAGGGGGCCTCACTCAAGAGGTGGGACCCTGAGGGCGTGGCCCGGAGGGCTGTAGGGCATCTCCCTTCCTTGCTCCTCCCTTGCCCTCTTCTTTCTGGACACGTGATGTGATGACGTGAGCAGCTCTCCTCTATGATGCCCCACTGCCATGTTGCCTGGCAACATGAACCGAAGTGTCTCCAAACCATAAGTCACAGTAAGTCTTTCCCCCTTGAAGTTGTGGATGTTGGGTACTGTGTCTCAGCAGAGAGAAGTAACTAACACCATCCCTGTAATAACTGAGCAGAGTGGGTAGCCGACATTCTACAGAACACGGAGTGTACACTCTCGACAGCAACTGACAGTTTCAAGCCTCACATAAGGACCTGATCAATTCCACTGAAGCATATCTAAAACTTGAGTTCTCAAACACACAGAAGAAAGTCACAGGAATCCCAAGTCTTGGCCCTCCTATCACAGCAAGGCAGCCTATAAGACTGTCAGTAACCTTTTACCCTCATCTCATTTCTGCCTAATGCTATAATTTAGTATTCTGAGCTAACTTTCAGTTTCAAGGAATAAAAACGACTTACTGTTCCGACATGGGGAATACTCAGCATATGCACTGAAATTCTGAATTGCTACATAGCAGGTGCCAACCGGGTCCTTTTCTGGTGACGGTTTAAGAGTTCTCCAGTGATATAAAGGTGCACAGGCCTGTAAAACATCAGACAGTGAACACATTTTTATCCAGGCTTCTCACACAATAGTGTGATTTGAACTACTAACTAGTGCACCTAAAGTTATGACAAATGGTGTTAAATTATTAGGTGAATTAATTGCTTCCCAGTATGCAAATGAGCATCTCGGTAGTCAGAGTTAATTAAACCTCCCAAAGCAATATGCAATATCAAAACACTGTAGGACTGGCAAAAAATTAAACATATGTAAAGGAATGAGTACTCTTGCCAAAGAATGGTAAATTAAATAAAAGTAACCTGGCAAAAGGAAATTACCTCCTGAAAGCAAAGGAGTCTTATTTTCTTTTCAGGCCTGTTTTTTTTTTTTTTAATTGGGCAAAAATAAAAGCAAATGATCACTCAAAGAGTAAATAAGTCAGTGCAGTATGTTAAAATAAGAACTAGTTTCTTTCTTTGTCTAGTTGTTGTTTCTGTAAAGAATAGCTTTCAACTCAAAGGATACAGGCAAGTTTATACAGCTGGGTTTCGTGGATTCCCATACTTTATGACTGAAGTCAGATCTTTTGAATTTTTAAATATTGACTTTTCTAGACATATTCCTTTCTTGTCACAGTGTTTAGGGCTTTTATTCATGGTAAAGCTGAAGGTGAAAGACAGCATTGAGTGCCTATTTTAGCACTAGAAAGTCATCCAAAGAGCCCAAGTTAAGGACCTACAAGCATTTGGAGGTACTGACACTGAGAGAAAACTAAGCCAACACTTTGTGTCTGATTATTAAGGAGAAATTTACTGTGATAAACACAGAAAAGCTTTTTTTGAGGGAGATGGGCTATCCAAATCATTCCAAAATGTGTTATCAAGTCTAAGAAGGCAAAATAAGAAAACCAAGAGAGTTAGAAACAAATGTTACATGCTTATTCCCTGCTCACCTGTACAGCAGTAAACGAGGTGCACAAAAATTGGCTCACACACTGGACCCTAGTCTAGAATTTATGTAACTGCCAACAGCACTTAGCATAGAGCTGCACATTTAAAATTTGAGTAATGCACAGGCAGTCAGTTAAATTAAATTCATGCTCACTGGATAGAAATCGAAATTAATTTTACAATGCCAAATTACTATGCATTAGTTGCTAAGGTTTTATGACATATGATTTGTTGTACCAGAAATTTATTTGAGGCCTCACCTGAACCTTCTAATTTTCGAAATGTTCCTCTGGAGAAAATATGGCATATTAGATTCTGCCTTAGGATGCCACTGGTCAGAATATTTTGTGACGAAAAGGTGGAACTGCCACTGATCAGCTTACCTATTACTGCAAATATCATCAGCAAAAGTAATTTAAAGAAATAAAACAAAACAAAACAAAAATTTGCTCCTGCCAGGCTCTAGTTTCTTCCTTCAAAGTTAAGATTCTAACAAGAGCACAATATTTAAAAGGAAATCCTCTTTAAATCAAATAATATTAATTTTTCTGGTAACGAGAGAGGCAACGAATGTGTAGAAAACACAGGCACTTTTCTTTTTACTTCTGTTTTGAATTCTGTATGTTTTGTCTGATTGTTCAAACTTTCGACTCTACCGACAAATTTACAGAATCCTGGGACGTGGAACCACTAACCCATTTTCTCAGTTGACGAAAAGTGAAAGATTGACAATATATTTTAGTTGTACAAATGCATAAGGAGATAAGGTCTGGAAATAGTCAGTGGCTTCCAAGGTGAATGCTAGTATCCTGGGCACATACTTCTGCAGCGAAAGGCAGCATGCCACAAATGCTCACCATACGGGACTCACCCGTGTGCCATGGTTTCTGCTTCCGGTGTGTAGTCTAGTTTCTGGTTGAGACTACTGTGTTGGTTTAACCTCCGCACCATTTACCGGATATTCTGATCCTCTTACTTCTATTGTAGGCTTTTTTAACTCTACTTTAAAGTCATTTGGGGCTTCTAAACATGCCCTTGATAATCTAGTTCAATATATAACTACTCTTAGTAAAGATAACTAAAATCTCCAGGAAATCATCGTCCTAAAAACTCAGGTGTGTTTATGTATTCATTTGTCCTGATTTACCATTCTGTATGTTGTAAAGCATTGGCCACATTTGGCCAACAAAGAGTTGGGACTTAGCCCCAAAACTCTTTAAGGCATCTAGGTCCTCTTATCTCACGGTGCTTGCAGCAAACCGACAAGTTGCCTGCTTGATAAATTCAGCCTCGGGTGTGAACTGTCAACAAAAGGAGTCTGGGTGGTGACACAGTCACCCATGGGTCCAATGTAGTCCAACTGGTTTTGTCTTCTGTCTCACCAAAGGAGATTTAGTGCCATCTTACAAGTTAGAAAGTGAAATCTTACCAACAACCAAATATTTCTGTGACATGCTGTCATAAGGTATTTTCAGTGGTTTTGAAGGTTTCTACAACTTGAGAATAAATGTGTGACAAATGCATGCTACAGGTAAAATTTCAGGATGTAAAAAAATTACTACAATACCCAGAAGATTTTGTGAACCCTACACAGTTACTGGAATGGAATTAGTATTTTAATAGTAATTCCTTTAGCCCTTTTCTTCCTATTAAAGGTGTAGGGAACGTGGGAAGGGTAGGGGAAAGGTAATAAGGGAAAAGAAAAAAATAGGAGAAAATAAAAAAATGGAAATAAAGTGTTTATAAATGGGGAGGAAAGAGGGGATGAAGAGAGGGCAGGGACAAGGGGAAACAATGAGAACCAAGACCTGTCATGCAAAGGTACAAGATCCCAATAATGAATGTAACTGTACTGTACTATATACCTAAAATGTACCAATAAACTCAATTAAAAAGTAGTAATTCCTATAAGCCACATATCAGTAAAGAATAAGAAAAAATCTTACCAATTCTGGAAGAAAAATATATTAATTCAAATACAGTTCTATAGGTAGTACACTGTAAATGCTGAGTTTCGAACCAGAGGGATCTGTCTATATTTTATATGTCATCTAGTTTATGTCAAAGTATTTTTAAAGAGTAAACCACAGACTAAATAAAACTAGGAATCTCCTTTGGGTATTTATTCTTATTAAGTTATAATTCAAGTAATCTTAAATCCTAAAATCTAAAATGATTTTGTTGTTGTAAGGAAATTAGAGCAAATGTTTTTTTAAATCTCCCAGATTCATTCAGTATCCATTGATTTCTTAGTAACCTAGGGCATACATCATGGCTTAAAATAGTAAGAGAATGGAGTCAGAATATGTTACACAATTTATACTCACCACGACTTTCCCTTTGTGAGCTTTCACTGTTGCTCCAAACCACTGATTCGATTTGAATTCTATAGGTTCTTTAGTTCCATTAACTCTGATCTTTCTGTTGTCTGACAAGGAGGATATGAATTATTAATAGTCTGTAAAATGTGGCAGCTGGTTAAAATACACAGCAATAAATTTCTGCATTTAACACACTAAAAGAATGAATACTAATCTTCTTAAACTTAGAAAACTGATGAAGAGTAAATACTTCCAAGAGCCAGCATTACCCTAATAACAAAGCCTGATAAGGACACTGTAGGAAAAGAAAATTATAGGCTAATATTCCCAATGAGCATTGATGCAATAATCCTCAACAAAACACTACCAATCTGAATGCAGTGCCCATTAAAAGTATCTTTCACTACAATCAAGTGAGATGCAAGGGTGGTTCAACCAAAGGAAAACAATAACCATGATTCATCCCATCAACAGCATGAAGGACAAAACCTATATGATCATCTCAGTAGGTACAAAAAGACACTTAAAAATATTGAATGTCTTATCATGACAAAAATTCAATAAAATAGGTATAGAAAGAGCATATCGAGATACAATAAGGCCATACTTTACAAGCCCACAACTAGCATCACACTCAGTTGTGGAAAGTTGAAATCTACCCCTCTGATATCAGGAACCAGACAAAGATACCCACTCTCATCAGCGCTATCCAACATAATATTGGAAATACTAACCAAAGTGATCAGGCAAGAAAAAGAAAAAAGAAACATCTAAATCAGAGAGGAAGAAGTTAAATAACTTGTCTCTGTTTGCATATGACATGGTCTTATACAGAGAAAATCCTAAAGACTCCATAAAAACTATTAGCAAAAATAAATTTAGTAAAACTGCTGGATGCAAAATTAACTTACAAAAATAAATGATACTTCTACACACTAACAGTGAACAAACTGAAAAAGGAAATCAATAAAACAGTACAAGAAGTAGAAAGAAAAAAGTTTAAAAGAAAAGAACACAGTACAATTTACAATAACAATACTTTGGAATAAATTTAACTAAAGAATTGAAAGATTTGTATATTGAAAAAAATAAAAATTGATGAAAAATTAAACAAGATGCAAATAAATGGAAAGATAAATGGGTCCATCAATTGAAAAAAATTATATTGTTAGAATGTCTATGCTACCCAAAATGATCTACAGATTTAATACAATCTTCATTAAAACTTCAATGACATTCTTAACAGAAATAAAACAAATCCTAAAATTTTCATTGACCCACAGAGACCCTAAATAGCCAAAGCAATCTGAAACAAAAAGTACAAAGCTGGAGGCATCACACTACCTGATTTTAAAAGTACATTACATACTCCTAAGTGAAATAAATAAGTCACACATGTATAAATATTGAATAAATTCTCTGGTGTGAAAAACTATAATAGTACATAAGATCCTAATGAGATAATTGACAATGTGAAATAGGAAGAGAAGGACTAAAGGTGTAGGGAAAGTGGGAAGGGTAGCGGAAATGTAATAAGGGAAAAGAAAAAATATGAGAAAATGAAAAATGGAAAGAAAGTGTTTTTAAATGAGGAGGGGAGGAGGGGGTGAAGGGAGTGCAGGGACAAGGGGAAAAAATGAGAACCAGGACCTGTCATGGAAAGGTACAAGATCCCAATGATGAATGTAACTACTGTATACCTAAAATGTACTGATAAACTCAATGAGAGAAAAAAAAGTGCATCACACTATACAGCTATAGTAAGTAAAGCTCTAGTATTCAAAATAGCATGGTACTGGTAAAAAAAAAAACAGGTATGTGGACCAAAGGAACATTATAGAGAGCCCAGAAATAAATTAATGCATTTATTATTGATTGATCTTCAACAAAAGTGTCAAGGACACACAAAGGTGAAGGGATATGCTCTTCAATAAATTGTGTTAGGACAACTGGATATCCATATGTAAAAGAAGAAAACTGCCCCTTATCTAACCCCAGATACAAGACTCAATTCAAAATGTGTTCAAGACTTAAATGTAAGACCTACACCCACCAAACTACCAGAAGAAAACAAAGAGAAAAGGTTTGTTGTTATCAGGCTTGGCAAAGAGTTTTTGGACCCGACCACAAAAGCACAGGCAACAAATGCAAAAATAGGCAAATATGATTGCCTCTAAAATCTTCTGCACAACAGGGAAACAGTCAATAGAGTGAAGAGAGAGCTTATGCAGTGGAAGAAAATATTTGTAAAACACTGATCAGTTAAGAGTTTATGCCTAGAACATATTAAAAATTTTTCAACAGAAAGAAGGGCCTAGTTCTATAATTTGGAATCATAAAGGGAGAAAAGAAAAAATATTTGGAGTAAGAAAAATATTCTATTTCTTGATTGAGCTGATAGGTGAGTATATGTATACACTTATATTCAGTGCATTTTAGTGGCTGCAAGTTACACTTAAATAAAGTTTATTTTTTTAAATAGTATTTCAAACACAACAGCAAGAAAACAAATTATCCAATTAAAACTAGGCAAAAGACCTGACTAGATAAAACAAGGGAAGACATGCAAATGACCAACAGGTATAAGAAAAAGCATTCAACATCACTAATCATCAGAGAAATGCAAATCAAAACCACAATGAGATATAGCACCTCACCTCAGTAAGAATGGCCATTATTAAAAAGACTACAGATAACAAGTCTTGGTGATGACGTAGAGGGAATGTAAATTATTACAGCAATTTAGCAAACAGTATGGAGTTTCTTTCAAAAATTAAATATAGAACTGCCACATGATCCATCAAGCCCACTTCTGAGGGTATCACCAAAGAAAATGAAATCAGTATGTTAGACAGACATCCAATTTCATGTTTTTCACTGCATTATTAACAATAAGCAAGATATGGGAGCATCTTAATTGTGCATCAACACAGAAATGTATAAAAAATTAGCCTTATAAAAGAAGGAAATTCTATAATTAGTGATAACATGGATGAACCTGAAGTAAGTTTATCAGTATGTGTGCTGCCGAAGAGAGCACAATAATAAGTTAAACTCGGTGATTTTTTTTCTTTGTGGTGGTCTAGAGGATTGAACCTCGGTCCTTGTACATGTGAGGAAAGTGCTCTCTGCCCTCTGAGCTATCTCCCCAGCTCTGAGTACATTACTTTAGTAACATAAGCTAGGAACAAGGAAAAGATAAATAGTGGCTAATCTAATTTATATGTGGAATGGGATGCAAAAAAGTTGAACTTATAGAGGCAGAGTAGAATAATGGTTTCCAGAGGCCACTGGAGAGTTGGAAGATGGGGAGATATTGGCCAACAGATAAGATGTTTCAGTTAGAATAAGTTCTGGAGAACTATTATATAGCATGATGATAGTAGTTAATGATAATGCATTGTATACTTGAAAATTGCTAAGAAAATAGATTTTAAACGTTCTCACAAGAGAAGGTAGCTTGTTAGGTGATTGATATATTAATTAGCTTGATATAATCATTCCATAATGTTCACAGATATCAAAACAGCCCATTGTGAACAATATTTATGTACAAATGCTATTTGTCAGTTTAAAGATACTTGAAACCCATTTTCATACACTGGCAGATACCTTTTATGATCAAGCCTAAGCCAGGGGATGAACTGCCTCAGTTAAGCACAAAGTCACAGTGTATGAATGGCATTTCCCAAATTAAAAAGAAGCATCTTCTCATGTTTTACATTTCAGAGACCCCCACAGATTCAATGCAATGTGGGCTCAGATAGTCTCGAATCTACGATTCACTTAGGTATTCAGCTGTTTCAGATAGAAGATCAATTCGTCCTAACTGCTAAGAAGAATTCTGAATCTTTCCCAGCCGTGAAGCACGTTAAGATCCTCCGGGTCCAAGAAAGCTCGTTTCTCAGCACTCATTACCAGAACCACCACAAGGGACTCCGAGGTCCTGGCTCCTGAGTGACTAACATGTGTCTGCAAAGCCACTGCAGATAACGCCCTACACAGCTTTACACACACTCTGCAGATGTCAGCGAGAGGGGGGCAGCTGGGGAGAAACTCGACCCAATTATAACACACTTCAGATCATAATCAAAAGCAGAGCTCTCGTCTTCCCCTCTCAGTCCTCTGACGCCCCACATGCTTCTAGCTTCTCTGTCCGAACAGCAACTTCCACGAGTTATAATAGCCAGTGAGTTTCCAAGGACATTTGTACTCAGGCATTTTTTCGTACATATTTCCTTTTGTATGTAGTGTGCTTTTCTTTCTTGACTCTGGAATAAATACATTACAAAATGAACTTCTAACTTCTATTAGGTAAGGCCAAAATAAACATGTGATTAAAGCTTCACTTGAGTTTATTTATGATTGCAGACTTTTAAAAATTACGTATATTCAACCTAGAATTTACACTTTGTCATGTTAGGAGAAAATCTTGAATTTTCTTCTTAAAAATCTTAATGCTTTTGATGTTTCTGGACTTTGAAAAAACAAAACAAGTTCTGGAAATCCTCACCCAAAGTGCACACAACTGGTAATGAATTAGAGAAGCTGTGCAGCTCACAGCCTGACGTGGAATATATAAACATTTCTATTTGTGTCTAGGCAGCTTGGGTGCTCATAGAACTCAGAGCCAAAAGATCTGGCCACCACAAACTGGACGACCTTGTGCACTTCATTTAATCTTATGGAATTTTAACTTCTCTGAGTGAGGCTTGGAATGCATCTCCCACAACTTCTTCGCAGACGATCACACCACCAAGATCACTCAGATAAATGAACGTGGTCGTTCTTGATAAACTGGGCAATCACATAAAACAGAAATCTCACAGTCATACGACTGAAGGTCCACTACAATTCTCTTAATTAAAAACCTGGAAACTCTGCCTAAGTCTATGAGTTGGAAGGACCTCACAGGCACGCAAGTACAAGTTATCATTAGTGATTTGTGGCCCTTGGGAATGAAATTGGTGATATTTCACGAGACTGTCAAGGTGGCTTTGATTAAGCATGGGGAAAAGTACCACAGTGGCTTTGAAATTTCTAAACTACCAAAAAGCCATGCAAAGAAGACCAGAACTTCAAAAATTCAAACATAGTTAAGGAGCTA